CGACGCAAAAGTGGAGAGCAAGTGATAAGCCATAAGCTTTGCTGATGTGGATGACATGGCTATATATAGCCTTCTAAAAATAGTGATGACATCAGACCAAGCTGTGAAGGTATGTTGTTTGTCTTCTTGAGCTTGACTTCTTTTGCTAGCTTGAGCGTTCTCACAGATATCAAGAAATATGCGCCAGTGATCAACACTGTTGCATTTGAACTCTTGTTCAACGACTCCTTCCACTGAGCTTTGTTCTTGAGGCCCGAACGCTTTACAACGACGACTGCCCAAACAGTTCGGGCCTGAATCAACTGCTGTGCTTCCAAACAGCTCAATCACATCAAGCTGTGAAGTCTGTGGTCCAACTCCGTTTCTTCAGCTTGTTTTCCGTAGCATGCATCTGCAAAGAGTTACAAAACTGGCTTTCGCAAAGATTTACAAAGAGTTACTGTTTTTTCTTGGATAGCGGATAGCTTGATTGCGATATCGTTGCTTCACCTCGTTGTTTTTGCAATGACCTTTTGGACCAAGGCCTAGGGGTGGCACCAAATATGTACACGCAGACATCAACACATGCAGACGTCAACTAGATACACAAAACGCATCATGGTCAGGTGTATATGAACTTGACAGAATGAGAGATAGACCAGACACTTCACCTTGGCCAGAATCCAGGGAAATACAAAGCCCAAATAAGAGATATTTTACTTCTAGATGGACAGTTTGCACCAAATATGAGCCTCACCCCATCAATCTCCACACTGGCAGAAACTCCGCTCACTCCAAATATACTCTGCATTATTTCACACTCGACTTCACATCATGCATCACTTCACACGCGCCTTCACATCGTATCTTCAACAGTTCACCAGCAAAAGGCACCATCGCATCATTGTTCATCGGCGTCAGCCATGCCACATAAATACTCCACATATACTTTGCATCATTTCACATCACATCACATCACATCACGTGTGTTCACATCACATCTTCTCGCCATGCCAGTGAAGAAGAGTCAGTCCCGGCGGCTGAGAGTGCCTAGGTTTGAGAACTTTCAAGTTTTGCTTGGCCCCTCCAAAGGGTTTTTTCAATCGTTTAAGGCCTTGTATACCGTTAAAGCCTAATTATTTCTTCAAAGCAGCCTGCAAGTCCAAAACCCATTGTTCTTACCGCTTGACTCAGGACCAAGCTCGCAACGAACATCGCCAGCGGCACGGGCGGTGGCCGGCGCCAACCGGCAGAGCCCCTTGCATTGATTAGATAAGTAGGTTGGCCCCAAGTTTTCTTTATATAGCTTTTGATTTATTGCGTTAGGTTTGTTTTTTGAAAAGTTTGCTTGTCCTCCCTGAGTTTTTTGGTGCCGAAGTTGCCTTTCATCCAAGGCGCCACCGCCTCGTGTTAGAGCGGCTGGCCATACATTGCAATTTTTCCACCAGCAATTTCCATAATCTTTTTTCATCAGGTGCCAGTAGCTGTTAATGACCCAAGTATTGAAATGGTCATTTTTTGCTTCCAGTTCTGGTCTCCCAGACACCTGTGTGAGCCGGGTCGAGATCTCCCCCATCCAGATCCAGGCGTCGAGCTTGGGGGTGATGAGATGGAGACGGAGGAGGGGGGAGCAGTTTGGCAAGATGTTCATTTACGTTTTCTTTATTTTTTCATCCGTTCATTTCACACCTCATGTCAAGCAAGACAGTGTTTGCGCTTCATATCACGTCCTCGAAACTTCATCCTTCAAAACACCCAGTTCTGGTCTTCCAGAACTGGCTTAAGGTGGGCGGCGGGGGGGACATCTGGCCAGACATGGAAGAGGAAGAGCGCGATCCAGCAGCTGCGGCATCATCAGGACCATGAAGTTCAGGATGAAACTTGGTATGGCTCAAGAAAAGTTTTCACGAAAACCTGTGTCCAACATGGAGGATAACCTTTGGTGATGCAAACTGTGCCCTGAACATCTCTTAGGCAAAATGCAACTTAAGCTTGAACCGCGCAGCAAATTTTTACAATCTTCAGTTTCAATTTCTCAGGCAGATCATCCCGTCGATGGGGGGGGAAATCAGTGATGAAGAGGATGGAGGGGCAGATCCAGGTGATCCAACTTCAGCGCCAGAGGATTGGTGGATTCCCTGGTCTTGGAAGAGGGATCGAGAACACATGACACCTCTGATTCTTGACTTAGCGTGGTACAGTTTCTGGGGGTCAAGGACTATAAAGAGAAAGGTCCTTGGTGGATGTGAAAGGGAATTTCCTTTACTTCATTGTGGGAAAGTATCATCTTTGGACTTGTAGGCCTAAGGCCTAAGAGTTTATTGTTGCTCAAGCTGCACTGTGTGAATTTGCCTGCGTCAAGGACCGAAATGAGGCTGGGGGAAGAAGGCGGCGGGCGTGTTCTGGTGTTGGGCGGCGCCTTCGACTACACCCGCTTGTCGGCTGCAATGCAGATCCACATCGTGAATTCCGAGATGCGCCAGATTCTTGGACTGGTGTGAGTGGGCCTTGAAGTTTTGTTTTCAAGTCTTTTCCGTTCCGCTCAATAAAGTCTTGTTTGCGCTTGGCCCTTCTTCTCCTCAGATTGAGGTGCTGCGACGAATCACGAACCGCGTGTCCTTCTCATTGCATGTTCACTGACCTGAACCCGAAACGCTGGTATCCCTTCGAAGTGTTGCCTGACTGATATTGAAGTTTTGGGGCAAGGTTTCTAGCTGATCTTTTTCCGTTTTGGTAGCCCTGGTGGAATCCGCTGCCGCCTCAATTCTTGAGGCCTCAGGGAACGTTTTCTTTAGAACGGAACGGAACGCGATGAGTGTGTAGCTTCTTGACGTCGTCGTTATCGCAGGCTTCAATCCAAGCTGCGGAGCATCAAGACGAACTGGAACTCTGAGCATCCTGTCCTCTGCCATTGCAAGTCTGGCGTGCACAGAGCTCCGGAGGTTGCAGCGTGCTTGATCATGCTGCAGATGAAGCTCTCAGTTGAGGATGCAGTGTCTTGGCTTTCAGCTTTTTTGCTTTAGAGTTTATCCTTTTCCTTTTAGACCTTTAGACTAGAACCATTGTAACTATACTCATGACTCCACAACAAATAACGACGGGAATCAGGAACAGGGGCGTGAAAAGTTTTGAAGTTCATTTGAGAGCAATAACTAAGTTGGACTTTGTGCGGCGCCACCGGAACATAGTGCAGTTCACTCGGAGACAGTCGTGGCTTGTCTTTGCCAGCATCACTTGTCTTTGTTTTCTGTCACACGTCGTGTTTCTATTTGTGAGCGCCGGCAACCACGAGTGTGACACGAATGCTTAGCCCCTCGGCGTCCACAGGTTCATTCACTTTGTGGATCGCCACCGGGAATCGCTGTGGTGATTGGGCCATGAGCTTTGGCAAGATGGAAGGTGATGCTTCCAGCAGGGACGTTATCTCCCGTGTCATCGGCGCCTCTGGCATCCACGTGAGCACCATGAGCTTTGGCAAGATGGACTAGTAGCAAGAAGCTACGAGCGGGGCTGGTCGATTGTTATCAGATGTTATCCATTGTTTTCATGCATCAAATGAAATCAGTCGTTATCAGATGTTAGTCAGTGAACTCAAAACTTCAAGGCACCTCATGTTTCATCGCGCACCCCTCTGAACATTTACCCCCGCGTGGAAGCTATAGTATCAACCAGCCAGCCTGTCTCGAAGAGCCGGTGCCCAAAATGGGCCGGCCCAAAATGGGCCGACAGTGGAGAAAAGTTAAAGGTGAGCTGAGTGTGGTGCGCCTGGCGTTGTGTGCAAGTTTCCCTTCAATATGTTTAAAAGCACTTGTCACAGCACAATCAAAAAGGGTACCCTTTTTTTGAAAAATGCTCCAAGGATAGGATTCGGGTTGGTCAGCTTTTGGTTAAACCTGGATTGTTTAGCCAGTTCTGGTGTCATGTTGATTTCCTTTGCCAGCATGTGCGTGTGCGATGTGAGTTTGTTGTGATGAGTTGCAATTCTTCGGTGATTTGAGGCCTTTGGCCTGAACCTGTCAACGTCTGCCTGGTGCCCCAGAGACTTGCCTGGCAACTGCAACTGCTGAACCACGGATGGGATTTTGGTTGTTGGCTGGCGGTCTTTGGCAGCACGCGCGTGTGCGATGTCATTTTGTCGCGATGCGTTGCAATTCTTCGGTGATTTGAGGCCTTTGGCCTGAACCTGTCAACGCCTGCCTGGTGCCCCAGAGACTTGCCTGGCAACTGCAACTGCTGAACCACGGATGGGATTTGGGTTGTTGGCTGGCGGTCGATTCGAGAATGAACTTTATAACAACTTTTTAGCCAGTTCTGGGCCAAGGCATCCAGAACTGGAGGTTTAGTTTTCCGTTTTTAGCCAGTTCTGGGCCAAGGCATCCAGAACTGGAGGTTTAGTTTTCCAGAACTGGAGGTTAGTTTTCCAGTGTTTGTTTGTTGCATTCTCGAACTTTAACTTTTTAGCCAGTTCTGGGTCAAGGCATCCAGAACTGGAGGTTTAGTTTTCCGGTGTTTGTTTGTTGCACTCTCGAACTTTAACTTTTTAGCCAGTTCTGGGCCAAGGCATCCAGAACTGGAGGTGTATTTTTCCGGTGTTTGTTTGTCGCATTCTCAAACTTTAACTTTTTAGCCAGTTCTGGGCCAAGGCATCCAGAACTGGAGGTTTAGTTTTCCGGTGTTTGTTTGTTGCATTCTCGAACTTTAACATTTTAGCCAGTTCTGGGCCAAGGCATCCAGAACTGGAGGTTTAGTTTTCCGGTGTTTGTTTGTTTGTTTGCTTGTTTGCTTGCCGTTGTTTGCACACGGGTGACGGATGGGAGACGGGTGGGTGGGAAATCGCTTTTTGTTCCGGGTCGCTTTCGCTTGCGGTCTTTTCGCCGGGAGGTCGCTTAATAGGCCTTTAGGCGACTTTCCGTCTGTAACTGTCACTTTCATGGCCTTTGCGTCTGTAACTGTCACTTTCATATGGCATGTTTTCAAGAAATGCTCGGCGCGTCAGCCATTTCTAAAGGGTTCGATTCGACATGCCCAGCCGTGCAATGAAGAGGGTGAAGAAAGCCATGAAGAAGGAAGCGGCGCCTCGGCAGGCTTGTACACTTGAAGGTGGCCTATGGATTGCTTGGTGTGATCACTTGCTCCGCGAGTCATCTACATGGCTCTATGTCCTGACAATCTTGTGCCACATGTTCTGCCTGAGAGTGACAGAGGGCCTCCGGCTGAAAGCAAGCGATTTCAGCTGGGAAACTCGATCAGTGAGGGTGGGATCACTGAAGCGCGCGCCAGAAGTGCACAAGAAGATTACGTCGGCCTACCTTCCTCTATTACGACGTCTCCGCAAAGAAGGGAAAGGTCGTAGGAGGAGCAAACCCTGGGGAGCCTTGGGAAAGAGGAACTTCACAGACAAATGGGAATGGCCTAATGGCGAGGAGTACCTATTTCCAAATCGCACAGGGACAAGCTACACCAAGAAAGCCAATGTCCGAAAATCCTTCAAGCCCCCCGCTGGATGTTCCTTGGGAGATGACGTTAGGCAGGTAAGGTCACACAGTGCAAGGCACCGAAAGATTAACGACATGAAAGCCAGCAGCGCTTCACCAGAAGAAGGCATGACATTTGCCCGAATCAAACGCAAAAAAACATACGACCGGTATGGCAAGATTAGCCAGCATCAAGCTGGCGAGGCATTGCAAAGGAACAAAAAGCTTCAGAAGGCACTCAAGAGTTTGTATGCCAAAGCATGACATTGTCTTCTCGTGACGAGAACCCGACAAAGGACATTCTGGAGTTGAACGGTGAAGGGCTTCAAGTTTCACAGTTTATGGCTTGCATCAAGTTTCACTATTTATGGCTTCAAAAAATGCTGAAGCCATAGCGCACGATTGCAATTCCAATTAATTTCAATGCAGTATCTTGGTAAACACTTACAAAAAGTCAATTGTTGCACTTGAGAATGGCAATCAGTCATTGTCCCTTGATATCAACCTGGCGGACGCTTGGTGGGCTAACCTTGGTGTTTCCTTCCAAGTAAGACTTTGTGAAAAACATAATCAATGATGTTCTGTGAAAAACTGTCACTACTTAGGCAAGAACCTCTCTACTGACCCTCTGCCTCTAGCGGCTGTGTGTGGGCACAGGATATACCCGCCAAGGCTGGCCGCCACACCCCAAAGGGGCGACGGTCGAAAAGTGAGCTCACTGTGCTCTGCCCATCTGACATCTAGTAGGTGGACCATTTGAAAAAAGAAGTCTGGACTAGCATCATCCCTGACGAGTGCGTCAGGATTGCGTTGGGGGGGGTTAGGGGAAGCCTTTCCAGGGGCGCTGACTTTAGCCGTTCTGAGGCCTGCACGTTCCAGAAGCACAGCTCCGCCGGATTGCTCAGAGCTTCTCCTGAAGCCGCGGCGCGGAATACCCCATCATCCTCTAGACACCGAAGATCGCAATGACACATTGCACACGCGAATAAGGCTAAGTTTGTTGGTTTCATGTGACGGATCCCTTAAGAAAAATGTTCCGCCATGCTCTTGCAGGAATGCAAACCACATGTCCAGTTCTGGTTTTCCAGAACTGGCTCAAATGTTCAAGCTTAAACCAACCTGCCACAGGTCAATGTTCAGGGATTGGCCGGGATACCTAATGGGCAAGCAAGCATCTAGGTTGTCAACCTGTTGTGTGACTGACCTGATGAAAAGTGTCACTACTGAAAAGAAAAGCTCACCTTTTACTTATATTGATTTTTTGCTTTCACTCAAACTCACTGCAAGGCTTCGGCTGGAACATGCTCTGCAACCTGAGACGGGCAGGGCGACTGGGATGGGCCCCTTAAGTTTTAGATTGTTGGAAGGCGGCTTGTAAAAATGTCACCCTAGCGCAAGCAAAAAACATGTGGAAGGTTTGTTTTCCACAACAGTTTCAAGCCCTATATAGTCAAGCTGCTGTTCCAGCCCCTCAAACACTAATGCCAAACTTCCCCGTCGGCGAGCCCATCATCTGTGAACTGGAATGGGCTATCTGTCAGGCCGCTTGCATACAGCAACCTGTCTAAGATCTGGGCGACAACAGGCACTGAAAAGGAATTGCCGCACATTTGCCTGGCATGGCTCTGAGGCACGCTGTCTGGAATGACCAGCCGCTTTGCGTCAATGCCCTGCAGTCGCATGTACTCGCTGAGACGAAGGAACCTTTGTCTGCTCAAAGCATAGAACGTGTTTCCACTGCAATGAGCCCTTGTGAGGCATGGGCATCCATCCCATCGAAAACAGTTTGCACCAGCGAACCCATAGCCAAGGTCCGCAATGCCTTTGGCACCTCGAAGTCTTCCTTCTTCCTTCAGGCGGGCTGTGACATCGTGAAGGTTTCGCAGTTGCGTCTTGCTGGTTGGAAACTGTGGCTCAGCGCCAGCTTCAGTAGGGTCCAAGAAGCTCTCCAAGCTCGGTGTCTGAATGTGGCTGGGCCATGTGAACGTCCGCTTCTCAGCCTGCATGCCTACAATGTAGATCCTGGGCCTAAGCCGTGATGCAACGAGTTCACCACCTTGTACTTCAAGGTATATTGCGGCTTGTCATTTGGCCCGCGGATGCTTTTGAGGAAATTCATGAGAACTTTGAAATCATCCTCGTGTCGCTTGTTGACAAGATCTGGGACATTTTCCAGCAAGAATACATGTGGGCGCTTCTCTTCGATGTACATGAGGCAGTGCAAGCCTGCTTTGCTTTCTTTGTTTTCAAAGCCCTCTTTGAGGCCAAGTCCGGAAAAGCCAACGCAAGGGAACCCTGCCCCATAGGCGTCAACTTTCGGGCATCGCTTGAGATCTCTTTTCGCGATGTCTTCGAAAATTTGATCGAAGAATTTCTCAAGCACCGAACGGCAATGAACATTGATATCGGAGCAAAACTTTTCCTGATAAGGAACGCCCAAGCTTTCAAAAGCTAGGGCCCAGCCGTTCAATCCACTGCAATCGCCCCCAATGGTGACCACTCTACGAGAAGCAACCGATTGAGACGGCCTTTTCATCACACCTCGGCGGTGACCATGAGCAAGCTGGCATGGCTGCGCGTGTTTCCCCATGTTCCTTTCGCACTTGGGCCCTGCAATGTAAAAAAGTTGGAAACAGTTTCAATCTGCCAGCGCAAAGAACGCCGCAATCAGTTTCAATGCCGGGAATGTGACCTCAGTAGCAGACGGAGCTGCCAACTGCTCCGGATGATAAACTGCATCATTCCCTCCTGCGAAAGGGTGTGGAATGTGAGCACTATTTGTTGGCAAGTCATCTTTTTAGCCAAAAGGCGGTCGACGTAATAAACATTTCCAAGCGATTTAATTCGACCCTAGTTGTGCACCCTGATTTTTCACAGCGCTCGGAAGAGCATGTCGAGCCCCTAGACCCAGCACCATGTGCCCAACAAGGACGGCAGGCTGCAGCACTGTGCGGAACTTAAAGGTTTGCTGCGCCTTCAAATGAAGCTGTGACACGTCCGGGGTGAGAGAATGAAAAAGAGCACCTGAATGCGCTAAAATAACGAGTCCGTATGTATATCTATATATATCTGTGTGTGCGCTTTTCTTTGTGTATAAGGAACTCATTGAATGGTTTGTTTCGACGGAGCCTGCGTGCATTGATTGAAGTTTCCAGGGAAAAACGAACCTTCAGGCGCCCAATGCTTCAAGAAGGCAAAACATGGCAGCAGCTGCAAAAAAGCCGGACATCTATTAACAAGAAACCAAACAGTGGTGAAAACAATATCTTTGTCTACAAACATGCTTATGACAAGCATTACCGGACACACAGTTGCTGACGACAAATACTGGTATACTCTCTGTGTAGTCCGACTGGCCGGCGTCACGCTGCCAAATAATGCCAAATTCCTCTGGGGGCAAAAGTTCCTTTAATAAATGAAGCGCTGAAACGATAATTTAATTGTTGGACTTTGTTGGGACAACCACTAGCAATACGCAATATGTACCGTGGCAATTGAACAAGGCTAGGAGTAGAAAGCCTGCCCCCTCATCAATGCGCAACGCTCACTTCTGAGCCTGGTTTGGTTCAGGAGGATCCTCAGCCGCCTGCCTGGCCATCTCACGGACCCTTGCAAGCAAATCCTGACCATCGCTTTCGCCCTTCCCCTTCCCTTTCTCCTGGCCCTTGTCGCTGGCCTTGTCCTTCTCCTTCGTCTTTGACTTTGGCTTGCCTTTGCCTTTGTTCTTTTTGCCTTTGCCTTTGCTGCGCTCACCCTTGGCGGCGCTGTCGCCGCCTTCCTCGTTGTCGATCTCCTGCTGGATGTTGGTCGCACGCTCGTCAAGCAAAGCCTGCAGCTGAGGAATGTAGAGTTTGCTTTCCGGAGATAGCATCAACTCAAACGCCCGCTTCTGAAGCCGAAGTTTCAAGGCCTCAGAGTGCTCCTGGCTCCACGTCATCCCAAAAAACGGGACACGAGCTTCCAAGCAAGCTTCAGCAAATTTGCCATCGCCCGCCAAGGCGATGACTGCAATCGCATCATAGCTGTGGATCAACTCTTGGTAGAAGGCGAAAGGGGGCGTGTGAAAAAGAAGAGGCTCAATGTCGGCCTTGTCGCGCTTGGACGCCTTCTCCTCTTTCAGCAAGTCCTCATCTTCACTTGCTCCGTCATCATCTGCCGGAGCAGAGCCGCCCACTGGGATGCGGGCGCCATGCCGCCCCAGGATCTCAAGTTTTGCTTTCACCGTGGTGCGCCACACGCGTTCCTGAGCGCCGAACAAAAAGGTGCACAAGCTGACCTACAATAACAGCAAGAGGAACGCCAATGTGGCTCGCTAGACAATTGCAAAACTTTGCAGCCGTATACAGTAATTCAAAAAATAGCGTCGCTGGTCTTTGGATCATCCGCAGCTAGCGGCCCCAGCACATTTCCACGGTTGGTTGAGTCCGCAATATTCAGGCGATCGTGCCTCAACCCAACAAGAGGCTCAAAAGCTAATGAACTCAAGAATGGCTCGCGATCTCGAAAACGCCTGAGACACGGCGTGCAAAAAAACATTTTTTTTAGAAAGGCTTCCGAAATCCAGTTCTGGTCATCCGGAACTGGCTAGCATTTAAGGGCTCATGTTTGAATTTGTCATGCGCCGGCCAGCGTAAAATTTTAATAGGTTTTATATATTGTATCCATGGCCAAGGTGCAAGTTCAGGTTCAAGCTCAGCTTCGACACCACGTAAAGCGGCTGCATCTGGTTGATGGAGCTGTATCCGCGGACCTTTTCCATCTTCTGCGCAATCGTCTTTTCGCTCAGCATCAGAGACAGTTGCCGCACAGTCTTCTTGGCAATGGGGATCGGCTTTCCCTTCTCCGTCTCAGGGGGCAAAGCAAAGGCGTTCATCAGTGGCATCTTGTTGCCTTCCTTGCCCGTCATGATGAAGACATCGCCTGGCACCAAATCCGGCCCTTCAACCGCACCTCGGCGAAGCAGCCCCATCTGCACAAATCTCTGCGCATGCTGCCCTCGAAGCCTCAACGGCGGTACCCGCAAGTGAGGCTGCGCCGTAGCTTCTCCACCATCATGCTGAGAATAGTATATCAGGACATGTGTCTTCGCCGAAGGGTCTGGCGAAGCATAGCCGGCAGCGGACTGCTTGATTCGCTCCAGCAGCTCGCCGTCGCTCAAGGTATCCTCCGCTAAGCTAATATAGCTTGCCACCAACGTTGCTGCCTGCTGCTTGAAGCGCTCCAACTTCTTGAGAAGCTGCTCACGTTCTGCCGGGTCATCGATG